GCGTGACGATTCAACGCCATTTGCCATGGAAACGTTCGTGAAACTAGAAAGCCTCTGTTTGCCGCTAACTGTCATTTTTCGAGTTCGGGTTGTGACGACAAAATGACGTAAGAACAAGAATGCACGGGACTATTTGCATTGTTTTAACTCGACAACCCTACCCTTGGCGAGTTAAACTCGAAAGAACATGGCCGCGATGCTCGTCGGATCGACCGCGGCTGGGGTTTGACATACGATCGGTCACTTGATCAACGCGCACACGAATACTTTCGTGCTGTTGGATGAGCCCATTCGGCGGCAGGACCGGGTCGAAGAGCACAGTGAGCTGGCGTTTGACGTCTCCGATGTAACGCTTCGCGAGATGCAAGACTTGTTATGAAGCTTGAAAGTGGTGGTGTTGTTGTGGCTCGTACGGTAGCGTTGCTGAGATTATGAAGACGGTAATAGACCTTTATTCAGCGTTGTCGTGCATTAAAATTCAAAAACTCACCTTGACACAAAGGGAACCACGTTTCCGCGAGCACAGAGGCAGCAGCCAACGATGAGAAAGAATTTGGCCGCCGCCACGACCGCCAGCGATCGCCCCAACGGCAAGAAAACAAACGACAAGCTCATTGAGGTTTGTGTAGTGCTGACTACTGATTCATCAGACGACAAAGGTGAATGATGTAAAACGCAACGTAAGTTTGCCAGCGTTTCGCAAAACGAATTCGTTTCGTTGAAAATTTAATTTGTGGAATTCGTTAACGCCTTGAAAGTTTGACAGGGACTGCATTGTGAACCCAGGCTCCACACAAGTGTTTTCTACAGTGTGTGCTTTGGCTGCATGCATATAAAGACAAAAACACTTCCTATATGGTGCATAAAATAACATAAATTTCGTTTATCTTGATAATGTTGACTATTTATTGAGTGCTGTTGAGAGTAGTGGCGTAGCCAGGAACTTCTAAGGGGGGTGAGGATGGAGGGGGGTTGAGGTGGCTGGGATGTTCATTACTTGGGGTGCGGGGGGGATGGTGTCGGAATTTGTGTGTATATTCTAGGGCCCGCCGGATTTGGGGAGGGAAGGAGCGAATCCCCATAAACCCCCCCCCCTCGTCGCCCCCCCCCCCCCCCCCCCCCCCCTGGCTTTGCCACATAAGGGGAGCATCCTACATTCACAGGCTGCTATAAGCATGTGCATAGCCACCGAGCTCGTACCACAATGGCAAGATAGTTGCTGACATTCTTCACGTTACGTAGCAGTTCTTTCTTTAGTACATATGCTCGCTTTTTCTTCACACATCTACTCTGCCTCCGCTTGACGTTTATGCTTGATGGTGATAAGCCAACAGTGCGTATTTGCTCTGCATCACAGGCAAATTTGAAAAATCCAGCTCACACTACTTTTTAATTTCAATGAGTTACCTTCATTTTTGAAACGACAATCTATTTAATTGCTATAATAACCTTTACATTTAACACACGTGTGTTGAATGTAGGACAATTCTATTTTTATTGTTTTTCTTGGTCACGAAGATGACAACCATCCACAAGACACTGGCTAGATTTCTCGTCTACAGTGGGTAACAATGTTGCCATACTCTGTCAGACTAAACTGCTGCTTTCTAGACAAGTAACGATTCATTTTAGGACAGACTTGTTCGTAGTTAATTGCAGGGCATCGAAAAGTGTTCTTATGACTTTCCGATGACTAACTTGCAATTCCAGCAGCTTGGCGTGAAAAGGTAAAATATCTAATTGATACAACAAAATGCCATCAGCAACCCATTCAGATTTTATTGCGTGAATGACAGTAGGTACAGACCGCAACAAATTGTCAACTGAAGACATAATCACAAAGCGTGCACTAACTTCGAAGCGGTAGAAACCCTGAAGTTTAAACGTCAACTTACCACCATGTTGTTAATGGCAAAATGGTGTTTGCGGCAAAGTGTTGGAGTCCTTCAGAATGGTGACGGTCTCCTTCAGACCGATGATGACGGTGACGAAGGTTTAGTTAGAGTCTAGGTTTAGTCAACGCACCCGACGACGTCGGTGTGCTTGTCATGGTGGCGACGAAAGCCTTCTTTCGCACATCCCTCAGCTGCCTCGGTCCGGGGTTTTGTCGACCCAACCGTCTCTTCCCAGCCGGTTGACAGCGATACTCACGACGGCCGTCACGGCTCTGATCACCATCCACTGGGCATTAGCTATGTGATCATCGGGGGCAACCGCGCCCTTGTAGTTCCCCGTTGCGAAAAATCTCAGTGCGATTCAATTAGTAGCTGCTGCTCGACAGTCATCATCTCTCATCGTCGCCGTCTCTCGTTGTCACACTGCGATCACACGGTGCTTTTCGACAAGCGGTATTGTGGTCAGAAACAGCCGTCGTGCATCGCGAAGGCAACCGGGTGCTCGCGGAAAACCCGTCATTGTACGCGTTGGTCGAGCCATCGTTGAGCAACAAGCATCGCCGCCATTTTCTACGCTCTAGAATCCTGCCCAAAGCTTCTTCCCCTTCGTGCAATAGAAAGAGGGGTTAAAAGCACGAGCCCATCACCCCGAACGATCTTGCACGAACGTTGGCTTGCACTGCGCAAGCGCGCCTGCTCGACAGGAACGTTGAAAGCCTGGAGCACGTTCTTGTAGCTCCTACACACGCACTAGCTCGCACTCATAGTGAAACAGAGAGTAGGGTGTGTCGAGTAATACCGCAGTTAATCTAGTGACGCGACTTCCGCTATGTGCTACGTAGGTCGGACGTGGTCATACGTCACTTTGTCGTCACGGTCCGAACTCGAAGAGTGACAGTTACGGCAAACGGTTGCTTTCGTGTTTTGCGAACGTTCCCATGGGAACCGCGTGGAATTATCACGCGGGCTGTGGCCAATAGGAGCGCGCGGTTCGTAGGGGGGAGGAGTTTTCGAGAAACACGAACGTGACCGTTTGTGACCAGAATAGCACCCCTGGGGTAGGCTGCATACAATGCTTTCTCGAAACAGGCAATTTTAAGTGAAACATATGATGCATGCACGTGTGCCAAGCGGGACACGCATCCAGGCAGTCGTAAATTGAGCGGTTCTAAGGTCCGTGTCTGGTTGTAATTTGAAAGAGAAAAAAAAGTGGATCAAGCGATTGTCAATGTTCCCCTATCCAAAAATCAAAATAACAAGCAAAAATCCAAGTGCCGAATTTGAAGTTCCCGCGCGATCCGCGCCATTGCAGTGACGTCAAATTTTGCGGTCTCCTGCGAGTCGACTTTCTTTCGCACCTCCGCTCCAAACCACCGCGACCCGAAGCGAGGAGGTGAGGAGCGGGATAGAAGGGCGCCGGCGAACCGGGAAAAACCGGTTTCTTCGTCCGGTTCCCCGACTCACCGATCATCCTCTGCTCGGGCGCAGCCAACTTTTCCGAGGGCGGATATAAATCCAGGAGCCGACATCACACCGGACTCTGATTTTGGGTATTTCAAAAAGGGCTGTAGTGCGTTCGCCATTGCGTTAAAAAACATGCTTTACGATTGCCGTTATTAAATGTTATCGAAATGTCGCCTACAAAGCTTCTAGATTTCATGATTTTTGACGTCACCTATCAAAAGAAGCGAGGAGGTGAGGAGAGGGAGAGAAAAACGCCAAAAATAAAAAGGCGCGCGCGCGCGTGTAAAAATTTTTCTTCGCGATGCGGGTTTTTTTTTTTTTTTTTGCGTGTCTATGATTACAACTTGCATCGTTTTGGACAATAAAATATACGGCCTTTGGGATATTGAGGTATTTAGCGCACAAGGTAGAAAGAAGAAGGACAAAGCAGAAAAGAGCGCTACTCACAACTACGTTTACTAATAAAAAGGGAAGAGAAAGAAAACACCTAAATAATCCGCCGCGGACTTTGGGCAAGCAGACTTCAAGCTCAACAGCGATATAGAAAAGCAAAGTATAACATCCGCTACAAAATACAACTAAACATCGCAACGGCTAGAGCCAAACGTTATACGAAGGAGCTGAAGCAGCAAATCTGGAGACGGCACTGCCATTCATTCAATGAAAAACCGGCATTAGAAGAATGTGGCGGACATACAAAGGCATGTCCGGTAAGAAAAAGAACAATTGTACGGGACAAAATCTCGCTATCAAGCTCGGCATCACGGAAGAAGATCTTGCAGTAATGGCAGGGGAACACTTCTTCCCGCAACCAACAACACAACAGCTGCAGCAACGCTACAAAAAGAGGGTTCCCGAGCTCGACCATGGGTCACCAGCAGACGCCCCATTTAACATGGGGGAACTTATAATGGCTCTGGAATCAGCAAGGAACACCGCACCCGGACCGGATAAGATCACCATCACGTCTCTCAAGAACCTGCCAGAGGAAAAGAAGACGGAACTGCTGGCCTGGTTTAACGAAATATGGGAGACAGGACAGCTGCCCGAAGAATGGAAACTGTCAACGGTTATTCCAATTCCCAAGCCAGGCAAGCTCACCGACTCAATCCAGAACCTAAGACCAATCTCACTCACTTCCAATTTGTGCAAGACCATAGAGAGGATGGTCCTCGCGAGAATCACGTGGCTCCTCGAAATTGAGAGCCAGGCTTACTGCGCCAGACAAACAGGCTTCAGACCAGGTTTGTCAACGCAGGATAGTTTGGCCCTTATTCACAAGGACATCACCTCCAAACGACCCTCCTACAATCCACGGCTGATCGTCACAATCGACATAAAGAAAGCTTTTGATTCTGTGCCCCACGACGCGGTCATACGTGGTGCAGTCAAAAGAGGAATCAAAGGGAGACTCCTGAAATTCATTCACTCTTTTCTGGACAAAAGAAAATACCAAACGGCTATAGGACCAACCAGAGGACCGATGACAGATAACAAGATCGGTGTCCCACAAGGAGCCGTAATCTCGCCAACACTTTTTAATATGGTGATGGCAGATCTTGCTCTTTCCCTAGAAAAAATTCCTTTCTTGGGATTTACCATTTACGCAGACGATATTACTATTTGGACAAAGAACTGCAGCACGTCCACGCAAGTCACCACGCTTCAAAAAGCCCTGGACACAATTCAAGACTTCTCCAAACAGACGGGGTTACAACTCTCAACCGAAAAAACAAATTACGTCGCCATATCCAACGCCAGAGGGCGAGATGAAAAAGTTGGAGACAAGATCAAGCTCCTCGTCAATGGCCAGCAAATTAAATCTCAAACCTCAATTAAGATACTCGGTATCGTGATTGACGAAAACGGAAAGGCGGGAAGCTGGTACCAGCAAATCAAAAGTCAGTGGAAGCAGGCACTCAATATGATCAAACACACCACCGGCAAAGCGTGGGGAGCTAAAGAAGACATCCTCAGGACCATGGTTAAGGCTTTCCTTGTACCAAAGGCAACTTACGGAGTGAACTACCTCAGTCTAACCAGAGCACAAAAAAAACGGACTTGAAGCACTTAACAGGGAAGCCTTGAGAGTAATCACTGGGCTTCCCAGGTGCACCAAGGTGGAAGCGCTTTACGAGATCGGAGGACTCAACACGATCGAAGAAATAGCACAAGAAAACAAAATCAGTCAAAACTTGAGGCTTGAAAAAACTGAACCAGGAAGAAAGATCCTGAGAGCTCTTGGTTACAACAACGAGGTCTACCAAGTTTTTACGAAACCTCCTCCACCATGGGAAGACGAGATAGTTATTGATACAAGACCGACCCCGCAAAATCAAGGAAAAACACAAGTTAAAAGAAGAAATAGCGCTGCCAGGAAACACGACACCGAGGTACAATCACTTCTTGAAGATGACACTAACGTCATTATTTACACGGACGCAGCCAAGGAGGACAAATGCACAGCTATGGCTCATTATTGCGCAAACGACCAGAGAAGAGTCGCCGCCTCCCTGGGCATTACCACCAGCGTCAAGGAGGCTGAACTTCAAGCCATCAAGACGGCGGTCGAAAGTGCAGAACAAGAAAAACATAAAAGCAACATTTATGTCTTTACGGACTCTAAAGAAGCCGTACGAGAATTGAAAAAACATGATAGCCGCAGCAAAACGGTTAAAAGCATTAAGGCTACGGCCCGACAGCTTCGAGCTGAAGGCCGTACCATCAAGATACGATGGATCCCCGGACATCAAGGTATCCACGGAAACGACGAGGCACATGCAGCCGCACGGGAGCAGCTACAGGCAGTCCCACCCGGCCAAGGCTCAGTGCACCCCGTCGTAGATGAAGACATCGAAGACGACGTCGACCCGTCGGAAATCAAAGCACAAGAACGGCTAGAAAGAAGACAAAGACTCGCCGATCTACGCAGGCCAGACGAACACCCCCTTCCATCGACATCTTACAGTCGGTGGGAGCGTGTATGCCTACGAAGGTTGCGTACAGGAACCGCCATGACATCGGCTTTGAAGTATAAATTCCGGAAAAGCAACAACGGGGAAGATTCCGAAACTGACATGTGCGATCACTGTCAAATACTGGCAGACATCAAACACATCATCTGGGATTGTCCCAAAAGTGACATCAAGCGGAAACTAGCTTTGAATGCTTTACCGCCACAAGAAAGACCATCCTGCCTAAAGGAATGGGTTCTTCCAGACGGCACCCCCGAGCACAGAAAAGCAATTTTGGACTCGCTGATAGAGTTCATCAAGTCCGCCGGACTTGATATTTACATTTAAACCCAATCCCTCCATCGCCTCCCCCTGTAGCCAATGACGAGTTTCAAGGGCAACAGGTACCCCACCTGAAAATAAAACATTTTCTCACTCACTCGCCGCGGACTCGTGCACCTGCCACAGCCCCGTGAATGATAGCGGCTAGTTCATCCAAGCTCGTGCGGGCCCTTCCTTGTTTGTTCAAGGAATTTCCTTTCCTTGTTTGTTAGCGTAACGGATTCAACGCTAATACAGTTCCTGTCCTCACGAAGGATGTAGAAGGCTTCCAATACCTCGCGGGTCAATTCGTGAGGAGAGGAACTGTATTAGCGTTGAATCCGTTACGCTAACAAACAAGGAAAGGAAATTCCTTGAACGAACAATGAAGGGCCCGCACGAGCCTGGATATGAACTAGCCGCTATCATTCACGGGGCTGGGGCAGGTGCACGAGTCCGCGGCGGATTATTTACGTGTTTTCTTTCTCTCCCCTTTTTATCATAAACGTAGTTGTGAGTAGCGCTCTTTTCTGTCTTGTCCTTCTTCTTTCTACATTGTGCGCTAAATACCTCAATATGTTAGACTACCAACTAGCCCAAATGTCAACTTTACTGAACTTTACGGCCTTTGGGGTGTCAGTGCCCCTTTAAGCCAAATATTGAGGCTTCAAAACACCCCACTGCCACCCAGAAAGTACAAATATTCAGTATGACCCCCCCCCCCCCCCCCCCCCCCCCCCGACTTCGAAATATTCTTGTTTTCTAACGACCAGCAAAAACGAAAAAGAAAAGTGTTGTTGCCTACTTCATTTTATCCTGTGTCGAACCGCAGCGGAAGACTAGGGGCCTCCACAGCCAATCAAGCGCAAGTTCAGAAGTGACGTCGCCTGGCTCCCCGGGCGTGTATTGGTGCGTGACGATACCTCTGGATGGCGCTTGATTAGCTGTGAAAGCCCCTAGCCTTCCGTTTTGGTTAACACGAGATGAAACGATGTATGGTCGGCGCTGGAAAAAGTAAAATGACCCTGTAGAGGAAAAATCCTTTG